ACACACACACACACACTAACAACCAGCTGACAGTCTAGCACACTGTCGTCCCGTGGATGCAGCTTTTCTGTTTTGATATTGGCAGTACAGAAAGAAACTGCACGGTGGATTTAGTACACCGTCATCAGTTATAAATGAGCATCAGTAGATCTGCTTTTAACAAATCCTGTGTGGGATTTGTCCTAAATGCATCACTGCCAAGTGAATTATAGTTGCCATTATACTGTAGTTAAGCCCTGTTTTATAGCACTGATGAGGTATTTTTTATTTTCTCTTGCCGGCTGCTGCATCAACAGATGGATCCCAAAGCTTTCCAGCTACTTTTACTATTTTATCAGACAAATTGTTTTTTAGACTGGAGGAAAATGTCCAAACAGAATTTGGTGCCTGTCAAAGTGGTCCCAGTCATATTTTCGGTTTTCCACAGGGATGTTTGTTGTTGATTTCCCCCTGCATACATAAGTCACTAGTCTACCAGAAGGGTTTTCTTAATTGAAAGAAGGAGCCTAGCCTAAAAAGTCAGTCAGTCAGCCTACAGAAAATCCAACAACAAGAACTTTGAGAAAATCTGTACTGGTAACAGTTACTTTTGGGGGGTTTTAAGTGTCCATCAATCATTATTTATGCACAATACCCGCAGCCTGTCCCAGCTCTCACTGGGTGACAGTCGAATGCACCTTGGACAAATCGGCAATCTATCACAGGGCTGACACGTATAGATAGGCACACTCAGATTCACAACAGGCAATTTAGACTCTCCAAACATATTGTAGCATAGCAAATAACTGTAGAACTAAAAAAAAAAAAAAAAAGATAAACCGTGTACACAAAAACTTCACATCTATCACACACACATCTATCACACACATCTACTGCAATTATGCCCATTTAGAGAGTTAGAATGAATCAGTCTCAGGTAGTCAAGTGCAGTTTCTACTCCTATTTATTGCCCTGTAAAAATCAACAGTTGCTTTCCTCTGCTAAGCTGTTAAAGAGTGGAAGCCTTCTGTTCAACGCTTCTTCCCGCAACAAAAGAAATGTGTGTTTTCTTTTTGGTTATGTGTGTTTTTCCCATTAGATCAGATAACGAGGTGATTTGCCTCAAGCGTGCAGGTAATCTCTGGGTCTAGAGAATGAAATGATAAGGCTTTCGAGCTGGTGTTTGGTTGCAGTGAGGTAAATGTGTTAACACTTAAATACAAAGTATGCACAAACAAACAGATTCAAAACAGACACATTGGACGAAACTGACATTTAAGCATCGACGAGAAAAACACACAAATAAACTGCACATTTCATTATAAGATAAAACCACATGTGGCAGCCATCTTTTTCACGCTTTTTATCCCTCTCTTCTGTCTTGCCCCCGGTTAAGGAGTGAACCAATGTGACCCTCATCAATATTGACAAGCTTTTTCATGAAATGAGCTCAGAGATGGAAAAATGAACAAGACCTTGGAGAGAAATTGAGAGCAGGATGGAAAGCGAGACAGAATGCAAATGCTTCGATGGCCAAGGGCATTACTTGTAAGGGGGAAGCCAAAAAACAGATATGTACCTCTATTCCTCATTCTTCTCTTCAGCCATCACTCTTTTCCCCTCTCTCTTTGTCTCCATCTCCATCTCATTCATTGTATCCCTCGTCGTTTTCTACTGTTGAATCTCCAAAATGACGGCACATAAAACACCTTGGAACAGAAGCTCCCCGAGTGCTCATTAACGCCTCGTTAGCATCGAAAATGATCGTCTCAAGAAGGGAATGGGTCTTGGATGGGTGGAGGAGCTCAACAAATGAGATAAAAATATCTTTTCTTACCAAAGTGTCTTTTTACTGCGCCATATCAGAAATCACTAAAGATTTGAATCCATTTACTTTCATCTTCCTCTGGCACAATATAGAGCTTAACCCTCTTTCTCCAGATTCTTTGATGGACATAATTATATATCAGCCTTTTTCTCTGCTGTCGCACAAAAAAAGGTTGAAAACAGGTGGACCTAACCTTTTTTTCTTCTCAACCACAACACTTCCAAGGCCTTTCTTCAGCCTAACAATGTCAGAGCTGCAGTTATCTTTCCTCACTGAACGGCAGCACTCACAAAGCAGCAGGAGCCACTGCTGTTGAGTGACTGGCATCTGCCCTTGGCCAAGGAGGCCAGTTTATGCTAGGAAAGAAAGCTGCTTTTGCCTGAAAGTTGAAACGATTTCAGCCCAACATTCAGAGTATAGTCAGTGTCACACTGAGACAAACTCATTAAAATACAAATATTGCTACTCATGGGGAGCCACAACACCGTATCTACACATATGGTTTTTAATTTTTTTTGCTAATGCTCCAGGCCTCCATTGGTTTCTATCCATTTCAGTACACTGTAAACATCAATTAACTGAATTAACATACAAAAGCAGTGTAATATTGACAAAAATGAACACAGACTTGATCTTTATTGTGATGAATTACACTATATATATATATATATATATATATATAGTATCAACGTAATTGACTTCTGTATTTCCATACAGAAATGAATGGAAGCCAATAGCTGCTTAGGACAGTAAAAAAACCAAAATACATCTAAAAAGCTTATCATCTGCACAGCATGCATTGAAAAATGGTCAGCGAAAGTGTACTATCATAGTTCAGTGTGTAGATAGTTTCCTCTTGTCCTCTTGCTCTGACCGTATCTACAACTACTGTATGGAAGTGTAACATTTGGTGTATCTTTAGAGAATGGGATTTGTCCCATAGCCAGGGGCAGATAGTGGTGAAAGCTATTCTGGTGTGCGCCTGCATTTTGCTGTTCTTGTGAGTGTGTGTTTGGGAGCATAGTTGTCTGGCCAACACAACCACACACACACACACATACACACACACACATTCTCTAAGGTAGTTGACCTGTTTTGCCCTGAGCAAAGAAAAATTGTCTGTCCTGCATCCCAGCACTTTCCTTTGCATTACTTTACCTCCAGCAGTGCTTTCTGCACAGAAATGTGTAAATTTTGTTAATGACGAGCTACCTTCCTACTAAAATCCATATTTATGGCCAAATATTGTTTACTCCTCTCTTAATTGGTTCTAATGACTATTACATCCCGTGTTCCCACACAGAGGAGGTCTACCTGTAAATATTCAGTGAAGAATAACTACAGACAACATAAAAATAAAAATAAATACCCACGTCTTTATGTCTGATGTTTTAGTTACCAGTTGGAAGTGTGTGTTATCCACAAATACTACTCTCACTTTGTGCTCTTTCTTTATCAGTATGTACTTCATGGTCTTTTTCAAATGGCCCATTGTGGCATTAGTTCCTGGTTAAAGAGCTATTAATTCTACACACACCCTATTCCTCTTTTAGGTCTGTCAACAGTGTTTCATTAAAACGGTCTCACTAGTTTGTAGTCGGTGAATGTTTTCCCTCTACCGTCAGCTCCCGGTGGCGGCAGTGTGAAGTCCTTGAAGGCCGTTGTAAGGAAATTGGGCTTGACAGCAACAGCAGTTAGATTGGGTTTTGTGTTTTTCCTTTGTTGTTGTCGCTCCTTTTGATTCTCTGCTGGAATAATGCAAAACAGAGGAATATAAAGTTATTAACTTTTTTCCCCTTCTTTTTCTCCCCCTTGCTTTTCTTCATTCATAACATCCTGTCATTTTTCTTTCCCTCTCACTTCATTCCTCGTATCTCTCCATCCAGGCAGTACTACGAGATGCTGTACAACACTGCAGATGAGCTGCTAAATCTGGTGGTGGATCAGGGCGTTCGCTACACAGAGCTGGAGTACATCAATGCCCTGTCCTTACTCCACCGCAGCCAGACGGGTGTAGGGGACCTGAGCACCCAAAACATCCGGCTGCAGAGGCTGAAGGAGATCATCTGTGAGCAGGCCGCCATTAAACAGGCCACCAAGGACAAGAAGATCACTACAGTGTAACTATAAAACAGGACAGGGTGGAGAAGGGGGGGTTGAGTTGCCTGGAAATTAGATAAATATGACCAGTAAAAGAGAATAATGGTGTGTTTCCCAATCACCAATCTGTCCTACACTGTTTCAACACTGTTTCAATTCCATCAAATCTGTCTTGCAGGAACATGTACAGCAGATAAATGGGTCATGTATGAGAGGGGAACGAATTACAGAACTTGTGGGTGATATTTAAGAATTGGGTTAGAAAACACTGAAATAGAGGCTCTAGACCTAGATCATAATGTGTGTGAATTCTGTTGATGGAGAGTGTGTGTCTTCTCCATTTCGTCTTGCCTGATGTGATTAAACGCATTGTAGTCGAGGGTTGACACAGGTGTACTTTCTTCCAACTCTGGGCATGTATATTATATATATATAAAATATATATAAAGTGTATGCGGCACTGACTCGCTCTAATTGGGAAGTGTAGGTGACAACCAACACAGCTGCAAAGTTTGCAAGTCTAGTTCCCTATGCATCCATGTCACAAGGTAACCTATATTGTCAATTTACACTTTTAAAAGAGACTACAAATGCAGCACTTGCGCTTCGACTCCAACAGTCCCCCGCTCACCATGACTCCAGCTCAGATAAAAGGCGATTGTCTTGGACACTCACCCAAAACTTAGGCCCCATCTCATCTAATTTTCCTATTAGATCTAAACTGCTGCTCTCAATTACACCTCTATCTCTGCTCTCCTGGCAGCCCCATGGGCCCACTGATTCTGTCTGCAATAACAGATGCCAGATTAGACTGTCTGAATGAGGCCACATCTTCCGCCTGCTGCCAATTTGGGTTGGTCCCCAAAGATTTCCCTTGCTGAGAATTGTATCATATCTGTGGCTGTTAAAAATCCTGTGTGTCTGTCTTTTTTTCTTATAGTTTGGGCTGCAAACTTGTGCGGCTAGTGTGGAAAGTTGTGAGTTTATTACATTTTTCACAAATTGGACAAAAGAGACTCAATAATGGAGATATTTTTTGCTGATTTCAGTTTCATCCTTCCATTAAACAAGTTTTATTTGAAATGTGATATTTAAAGTCCAGCACCCTACAGTGGAATGACTTGCACTTTTTTGTGTTGGGGAGTTATGTGGGAATACATTTCATCAGTCATACTAGCTCTCCAAACTGAAATGATGCAATTCTGAATCTTTACTTTGTCGTCCCCACTGCATGTGCTCAAGTCTTTTAAAGTGAACTAAACATATAAACTCAAGAGGCGATCCCAAATCATTCCCCCCTCCCTCCAACCCTCCCTGTTTTTAGTTCATTAACTTGGGAGAGAAGTACTTAACGAGAAGAGGAGAGGGGAATGGGAGCCTTGTCAATACAGCGGGGCCGGCGCTGGTCTCCCTGAAGCCCACAGAGCAATCCATCATAATGACACATAGGCTGGGATCGATGGGAAAACAACCACGGAGCTGCTGAGGGGTTGGCCTACCACTCTGAAATGTACACTTGGTGTAAAATCTAAGATCTGCTCATTCAGCTGTTCACTTGAAAGCTACTTTTGTAATGTTATACATGGGAAACTTTAATACAATGTTAACTGGTTCTGTCATGTCACACACAGATACTATTATACTATTATCAAACTGCACACACATAAAAGTAAAAACGTCAAAGTCCAGAAGGCTTATGTATTGGGCGTACTCCGTATATGTAAGTGCAAACCACTGGACAACTGCTGTCCATGCTTTTTAATCATGAATGAAATATGTAAAATGTAATAAAGATTCATTTTTTACTTAGAAGCAAAACTCAGCTCATTTGCTTTTTCATGTTTCTTTTTCCTTGTAATGGGTCTTTAATTTACACATCTCTTCAATTTGAGTAATTTCTCTGTAAGAATGTAAGAATGTATTGAATTCTAGACATCAAACTCTGTTAGTTAAGTTTAAACATCCTCGTTGTTCCTCTGGTTGTTGAGTGACATCTCATAAATGCTCTAAAATGACTTTAAATGAAGCACACATCATTTGTCAATGCATACACTAATAGACTGAAAAATAAACCCTTCAAATTCCAAACTTGTTTTGTGTATTTTGTACAGTGTTTTTCTTTTTGTGGTTGCATCACAGTCATATTTTCCATTGGGGGAAGTGCAGCTGACAAGAGTTCATGCACGCAGTAACACCCCTTCCACACTTGACAGCACAGTCCATCACTGTTTTGATGCACCTGGGATGTTACCACCTTATATCATATGAGCGAGACGGATCCAAAACCAACACTAGAAGATGTACTTTACCTGACAGGTGTGAGAAGCATGAAGTGCCAAAGCGCAGAATATTGAAATCAGTAAATAGACACAGACAACATACCATCTTAAGGCTTGTGTTACTGTGGGCATAAATACATATTTGTTGGACTCTTTGGGGCTTAGTGTCTTACTTTGTTATTAGCCCTGTTGTGTCCTCTGTCACGGAGTCCTGGGATGAGCTGAAATTTAAAATACAGTTACAGTACAATATCTGAAACCTTAGTAGTCTTGCGTTGATTGAGAGGTCTTTTAAAACTAAGACACTATACAAAAAATTGCATTACAATTTACATCTGTAAGTCAGTCTCCTAAATTGTGTATTGCAAAATGCCCCAAATATTGGAACAAAAGATAAAAATAATTGGTCAAATCATACAAAGTAAAAAAAAATAAAAACAAGTTGGGTTTTATTTTATTTTAGTAGTCACTATTCAGTTCACAACGCTCCCTTTACCTGTGAAAACAAATGCTCACAGCACCTGTGTCGCTTTGCAACTACAGCACCCACAATTCCTTTCGTCTCACACTTGTCTCAGCGTTGCCTGGCGACGACGGCGTCCGCTTCATGTGGAAAAACTAAATTACTAGTTAGGTGGAACCCGGATATTTCGACTTTGTCTGTTCACTTTGACTGTGTATCAGCCGGTTAGTCCTTCCTCGTCGAGTTTTCATCATGAAATAATGAAGGAAACAACGAGTCAACAGTTTTCCGCAGCGTCTCCTAGCTGCTGCCCCCCAGAGTCCCACAGTGACGCTCCCAGTGCTGAGCTAGAAGAAAACGGGGAGATGGAGGTAAGGAGCAGAAAACCTAAGCTTAAGCTACATGTCTTCATACTTTTTTTAATTTGAAGTTTCTCTCTTTTTATTGTTTTCATCATGGCAAAAAAAAATATGTTAGAATGTGGCATTGTACCAAAGTGTAATGGGGGTTAAATAAAATATTTAAAAAGAAAAGGCAAAAAAAGTGATTGCATATTAATGGAGCAGTTTGAGTAAACCTTTATATTTGTTCCCTTATGCAACAGGTAAAGCAGGTAACCTTGCGCGAGAGGTCCGGAGAAGTAAAACAACACAGCAAGGTCAAACCCTTGATTATATTCAATTTGCGATAGCCGCATTAAGAGCAATTAGAGTGCAATGTGTGTGTGTGTGTGTGTGTGTGTGTGTGCTGCATGAATATGTGCATGTGTGCTTTTGGGGGGCAGGAAGCTGTGAGCACAATAGGTGATGCTTTTAGTGGCCTTGTAAATTCTGTCCCTGTATTGTTATTGCAGGCGTCATTATCACTGCTGTAAATTCCACCAGGGCTACACACGCTGGCTTCACTATTCTTATAACACACTGAATTTTATTTTATTCTTATGTTTACAGAAGGATGGCGTTTTAACTGCTGAGATGGTCTCCGGCAATATGTCCAACCTTGGACGCTTCGGCACAGGGCTGCAACACTTGTACCAGCACCTGTCTCTGCCTGTAAGACACTTATACACGGACAGCACTTGTCTGTGGCGTTACATGGTCTACCTTCACATTGTGTAATGTTGTTTTTATGTTGGCAGTTCTTTTTGCTAGTGTCACATTTATTTTAACCAAGGTTGTATTTTTCTCTTCTCCAGAGTTACAATCTCAGTGACATCTCCGTTTTATGCAAATATGTCCATCTTCAAAAGCTGGAGCTGCCACACAACAAAATTAAAGGTGAGTTTTTGTTATTAGATGGATAAGGTATCCTTTAAAGATGTAATTAAGACATTATTTATTCACATTTGAATATCTTAGTTTCCTGTGGCTGTCTTTATCCTTTTATCAATTTCTCTAACTTTTCTAAACTGCTAGATTTGTCCTGTGTGAGCCACATGCCCTACCTCGTCATCCTGGACGCTTCTCACAATGAAATCTCCAACGTCTTTGGATTCCAGCCTCCCAAGAACCTAAAGGTAAAGCAAGACCTTGAACTGACAGGATAAGAGCACATTTGTTTGTTGGCTTGGGCTTCACTCTCTCGTGCTTATTCCCTCAAGATAGGCTTGCATTTCCATAGCCCATCTGTAGTCACTTTGGATATGCTTACAAGGCATTAACTGCCCTTGAATGACAGTGAACTTTAGCAAATTGAAAAGTCTTTCCCATACTCTGTGGATTTTACTGGAAAATGTTCTTCAGTCAGAAGTACAGAAGACTTTCATGACTTTGGTTAACAGTGTGCTGCTTTTTTTCAGGAAGTCAATTTCTCCCACAACCGTATGACAAAAATGAAGGATTTGTCAGCCTATTCATCTCTTAACAAACTGGATCTGGGCCGTATCCTTACTGAGAGACATTAACATTCATCCATGTGCACACTAACTCACACACTCCCTCTGTCTTTGCATATTCTGCTGTCAGTCACACACACTGTAGCTTCATTCTTTACCTAATATCCATGTAAATGTACTTCACGAATGCGTTATGTTCAACTGCATCTTCCCCATGTGTATTATTCTTAACATGCCCACACCCAGACAACAGTTTCAGTGAGATCACTGGTCTTGAGCAATGTTGCAAGCTCACCCACCTCAGCCTGGCACACAACAAGATCTCGAGGATCAGCGGCCTGGACAGTCTTCCTCTCACACACCTCTGTCTTGTAGGTCTCTATTACAATCTGAAATATGATACACAGAGTGCACATTCACACACAAACATCCATACATACATACAAGCACATACTTACAAACATTCATTTTAAGCAGACATCTCATTAGTCTTTCTTTGCCTCCAGTTACGTGGATGGCATTGTTTCACGAGAGGTTGTTTCCCTCCACATGTTGTCTAGTATCTATGTGCTCACACACACACACACACAGTAGGAGTTATTTTGGAGTTCTTTCTTATTGCCTGTATTTACCTTATTTATGCTAAATTTCACATTTTTCTCTTTGTCTCTCTGTTCTCTCCCCTCTGTCTTTCTCTTTATGTCTCTGTTTTTGGCTGCATTTTTACATCCAGTAAAACCTTGGCCCCCTGTTCGAGAATCACCATATGGTCCAACAGCAGGCCTTTTTTTTCTCTCTCTCTCTCTCTCTCTCTCTCTCTCTCTCTGGTTGTGCGTGTGTATGTGTGTGCACATGCGTGTTCTGTCCTTTATCAGTGTTTCCTCATTGTCAGCAGCCATCGGTCTGGCTGTGTCTGCCCCTGTCTGTAGCTTTGCTTTGGGACCAGCTGCTGGTGTTTGAGTGAGCCTGGACCAAGTTCAGCACATACACACACACACAAACTCACACCTTGTCCATCCAGCATCCATCTAATCCCATCCCTGACCCCTCTTCCTCACATGCTGCCTCCCTAAACAGCGCAGCCCTGTCAGCCAGCCTGTTTCACAGCCCTTCACAGCACCGACCTAGAGCTGCAGGGGACCAGCGCAGTCACCCACCCCCACTGACAGCAGCCCTCTGCCAGGCAACATGCTTGGCAAGAGCAGGTTGAGGTGTGGCCAGACGGCTGGATAACAACTTTAGTCAGTGGAATGGAGTGAGAAGCAGGCTGGGGACCCTGACAAGGGAGGAGTGCCCAGGTCTGGTTCTTTAGTTGGTTAGCGTGCTGTGCTAGCACCTCGCCAGCTGTTTGGCTGTCAGTCGTCACCTGTCAGGATTTAGCAGAGAGAGGCAGGCCTGCCACTCAACTCGAACTGAGGGGAAAGAAGGTTCAGGCATCCTGCAGAGCGACCATGACGTGTCCTTTATATTTATTAGTGGGAATCGTTGACTGTATATGAAATAGAGCTGTGGGTTGGAAGCCGCTTACTTATGCGCGCATATTCATGTGTATCACGTACTTCCCTCTTTAAATGTGTTCTCTTTGCTGTCTGTGTCCAGAGGGGGAATCAGCTGGAGAGGATTGAAGGGTTGGAGAATCTGAAGACTCTGCAGGATCTCGACTTGTCTCTGAACAGCATCAACAGTCTTTCTGGCCTCCAGAATCTCTACCTTCTGGGGTCCATCAATCTAGAGAAAAACCTGGTAAAAACATTCAGAAAGAGTTGGTGAATAGCACAAATATGTCAGTCTAAGTCTTAAATGTGATTAAGCTAATTCATGAGATTCAAATTCAAACACAAATAGATCTGCATCACAAATTTACTGAAAATATAATTAGGCTACCTTGTGAGTAAACAAAGTCCACGCACCATATAGGGAACTTTGAGTTTTAGTACTGTAAAGCTTGTTGTTGTGTTCTCTTTAAACCCTCAAAAAACATTTTGTATGTAGATGTTAAGTGTTGTATTTTAAGGACATTTCAAAGGGAGGCATGGCTGTTTGTTTGGCCGTTGTTTAATTAAAAAAAACACTACAAATAAACCATTACACGAAGGCTCCACAGCATGAATTTGTGGTTTTGTTTCAGATTAGTGAAATTCAGGAGTGCAAACACATCCATGATCTTTTCCTGTTGAGGGACTTCAACCTGCTGGAAAACCCTGTACAGGTAACCCAACCTTTTACTAACAGTGTTTTGCTATGAGAACTTTCTTTTAATGTGTGGAGATATACTGTGTGTGACAGTTTCACAGCCACTTTCCTGTAGCTACTCATCGCACATTCTGTACCAAGCCTGTAAGCACTCAAGCTTCTATGATGACTTCCATCTGTATATTGCTTTTTTAAGTTGATAATGTTTCAACCAGGCACCTCCTTTTACTGTATTCAGTCTGGGCTTTAAATATAGATTCATCATATGTTTTTGTAATATATACCATGTTAATGTAATTGGTAGGAGCAACCGGATTACAGACTGGCAGTTGTCTTCCTCCTTCAACATCTGACTATGCTGGACCAAGAGAAGGTCACTGCTGAAGAAAAGGTACAAATAAACAAGTATTTTGGTAATTATCCCTTTTTTTTAATAAACCTAGAATGAGTCAATTATATGAGACTTGATTACTAACCCTAAATCCCAGGTGTCATCAGTAAACAAATACGACCCTCCTTTGGATGTGGTGGCAGCCAGGGATCACATGACCCATCTGGTGTATCAGCTGATGCAGCCCCAGGTGGTCTATGACAGGTTGGTACAAATATACAGTATGGTTTAATATCCTACCTTCTGAATGGTCTTCTGCGATGTTCCAGGAGGTGCGCTCTGAATGTGGAGGTTTACATTATTAGTCGTAATCATAAAAATCGTTTAAAATCAACTATCAGGAAAGTTGTTATCAAACATGAGCAGCATTTTATCTGCAGTGTTTCTGTTTTGCTCACATTATCTACTACCTAAAAGAAAAAAATGTGTTCATGCATCAGCACTTTTTTGAAAAACATCCATCATCAGCAAATAAAATGCTGCAGCTACAGTCAATTTACCATTCTCCTCCGTGCTTCCTAGAAAGACCACATCCATATTGCCCACAAGGCTCCCGTTTATATTGACTGTAGAAAAGGCTTTCACGACTGAAGTTTGTGCTCTGTAAACTTAAATCTTGCTTTTCTTTAGTGAGAGAGAACTTATCTAAGAATGATCTAGTTTAACATTTATTAGAAACTGTATGTGTGTGTGTGTGTCTCTCCAAGCAGTACTTTGCCTAGTGCAGACTCCCCATATCCCATGCTGGTTCTGACTGGTCCTCAAGGCTGTGGGAAGAGAGAGCTGGCTCACAGACTGTGTCAGGAGCTCTGTGAATACTTTGCTTATGGGTCAGTCTTCAGTCAGTACGTGTTGAAAAAATGAATTGTTACTTAAGATATTTAGGTAAAACAAGTTATGTTAATGGTGACAGTAAAGCTTTCACTTATACTGATTGATACCGTTGGTAATATCACTAGTGGTATGACAATTTTAGTCATAATCAGTCTTCTCTATTTTATATTTTGCTTACTGCTGAAGATGGGATCTCTTCATGGAGAGGAATAATTATTAATAACTTAATAATAAACACTGACGTATAACATTTTTAACGTACATATAGCATATGAGCAATAGACTTGAAAAAGTCTGAACCTACCCTTTCAGTGCAGGGGCAAAACAGCGCAGCACTATGCAAGTCAAACCTTAAGGTTTTGACATCTCCCTGGCTCCCACCTAGTGGCTGGATTTACTGTCTGAAACATTCCAAAAATTTAAGGGTCTTATCCGAGCTCATAGCCCCCCTGCTGGTCCCCTTTAGTGGTTGTAGGTCTGAAATTTTTCACATACTTAGCCCTCATAAATTATATGGCTAAATATGTTACCTGAACTCTCCAGACTGAGTGTTTCTCTACCGTGTGTGTGTGTCTGTGTTTGTGTCTGTCTGTCTTTTTCCACAGAACCTGTCACACCACAAGGGGGCCATACTTTGGAGAGGAGAATGGAATTGATTACCATTTTGTCAGTGAGGACGATTTTCAGAACATGATTCACATGGTACGTTAGCTTGCCATTAAGCTTTTTTGACCCTTGGAGCGACTAACTGAGCACAAAATACATGTTTCAAGATTAGTTTGGGTTCTGGGCTCAAAATAATCTAATGCATTCAGTGTTATAAATCATGCAAAGATATTAATATTCACCACAAACTAATTAAATGGACGTTTTCTTTTTTTTTTTACTGTTCTTCATTGACATAACTCTGAATTCACTCACTGGCGATAATGAGTTGAGTAGTTGAGATAATTACTTTTACTTGGATGGATTGATTTTACTTTAACTGGCTAATATTTCATTTAACAAAGATATACTAAGTTGAATTAAGTTTTTTTGGTGTAATGGCTGTATTAATTAAATTTTTTTTGAGGATGACTTATCACAGCATCTCCCACAACGCCATGGTAGTGATGATTATTAGTCAGTCCTCAATATGCAAACATTGGTCAAAATTGCTTAAAATACACTTCTTTCCTGAGAGCCAGCTGGTGCCAGGCTCTAATTTTATTTGGCAGAGTCGGTTCGTATTTGTGTTAATCAGCAGCAACTAGATCTCATTCTTTACACCAACTGTGTGCTCAAATGATTTGAAGATAAAAAAAAAAAACGTTGAAGGAGTAGACTTAACTTAAGAAAAATGTGTGCTGAGGTCGGAGGTCTCGGACACATTTGTTTTCCATCTTATTCCTCTAGTCAAGCTGCCTGTTATGTAAGCGCGGTTGGGGATGATGAATGGAGGTCTGGGTCGTGTAGTGATTTACACAGCGTGGGCTTTGATGCTGGATTTTATGCCTTTTGTCTACTCCAGCAGAGGAAGTGAATCAGGTTAACTGTACAGTCTGTCTCTTGCTCTACTTGATTTTTCCAATCTTCTTCTTCACCCTGCATTTTCTTCTCTTTCCAGTAACTTGGTTCGTCACTGTTTTTCCCTCCTTTTTTTTACTCACTTTGCATTTGTCAGTTGCCCTGTTCCTCTTCACTTCCTCAGAGATGCTTTTCAGTAACTATGCAATCATAACCTTTTGAGCTAACCTCTTGTGGCTGTTCTTATACAAAATTAACCCTAATCAGCAGTCCTTGGTACTTATTATACTCCTTACTGTGTTGTAAACACAAGAAACACCTGCTGTGCAATTTTGTCTGAATAGCATTTAAGTCTGGTAGTACAGAATCACAAATATTATGCTTGTAATTGAGTGTTTGAATGCTTGTCAGACCTATTTAGGAAGGTTCAGGGACATAAAAAATTGTTAAAAGGAGCTTGCAATCCTATTTGACTTTTTCAGGAAACAAGTAGTATATCTTAAATAATATAATATATACATAAATAAATGTAAAATGTAGTGACTCACGGTTAATGAGTTTTCTCTACATTAGTATTATACACCGATCAGTCCTAACATTATGACCACTTGGGCACCCTGATGGGTAATAATGTTATGCAGCCCCATACACAACAGACTGCGATGCACTGTGTCTTGACACCTTTCTATCAGAACCAGTATTCACTTTTTTAGCAATTTGAGCTATAGTATCTAGTCTGTTGGATCAGACCACAGGAGCCAGCCTTTACTCCCCATGTGCATCATTCATCCCTGGCCGCCCATGACCCTGTCTCTGGTTCACCGCTTTTACTTCCCTTGGACCACTTTTGATAGGTACTGACCACTGTAGACCAGGAACACCCCACAAGAGCTGCAGTTTTGGAGATGCTCTGACCCAGTTGTCTAGCCAT